GTCATGTTGGCAATTAACGCACAAATCTTTCTGCAGGTCGCTCTGCTTTTTAGTGAACAGTGGAGGAGCAAATGTTACAGTAAAGTCAAATTTAAAAAGCAATGAATATAAAAGGCATAAAATATCAAAAGAATAGTAAGAATAAATAAGCTACTTCATGCTGTAAAATTACTGTACTGAAATTGTTACTAAACCCCAATTTGGTGTCATATGCTGTCAAATTTACAACATGAATTTAGATTCATTTAAAAAATAAAATTTTACAAACTTAATTAACAAAATTAATTTAATTATCTGTTATGGTCACATTGTAAGTGATAGGCGCAGGTTCAATGAAAAAAGAAATATGTCTGAAGATTTGGAAATAAAACAATTTATTGATTTCTAATACCAGCTTTAGGTATTTTTATTCAATGCTTTATTAATGTGCCACAATAAATTGTAATTTGGGGGCTTTTCCAAGCACATATTGATATATGAGATGTGATTGTTTGCGATTAAATCAGCAAATGTTTTTCTACCACCCTTTTGCCCCTACATGAATATTTCTCTGGATCCAACCTTGTTTTTATGACTCATTTTATGTTTTTTTTTATAAAATAGAGTAATAAGTATAAAGTAGCATAAAATACAAATTCTCAAGTAAAGTACCTTAAATTTGTACTTGTACTTGTAGGTTGTTGGGCTTCACCATTTCTTATAGCAAATGTTGACTGACCATATCTACATCAAATGTTAATATTTTGATTATGTTTTTCATATAAAGTCTCTAGGTAAGACAGCATTAAACGTATAAAGTCTCAGAAAAAGGAAGTATTCATGTGAAAGTAGCCCAGAACTGTACTTAGATAAAGCAGAGTAAATGAACTTCACCACTGTAGTCCCTCATTAACTTTACATATTTCACAGTAGATTGGGTCTTTTATTTATTTTTATCACCTTTGTCCTCTAATAGTGTTACTGTGGTTGTTTTTAAACTGCACCCTGATAGAAACACACTGACATTTATCAAGCGGAAAAAATAAACCTGCATTGAGATAGACATGTACACTGCAGTATTTCTCTTGTGTATTGTCTTGTGTTGCTGCGTTGTGTTGGCTACAATTGCTGCCTGGCTCAAGGTTAGCTTGCCCTGCGGTCTTTGTTTTGCTCTTAGCCTTGGAGGAGGCCAGCATATGTATCAGTGTCATTCCTGTTACCCTCTGCAGTGAGGGAGGAACAGATGGAGGCCAGATTTGTACTATCTGAAGAAGAAGAATTATGCACAATGGAGCGTACAGTTCAAAATGCAACATGGGCCGATTTAAATGTGACTTTTACACTTAATAAGTTGTTTTTTTCCCCCACATTTCTATTTCTATTCTCAGCATAAACTCACATATCTGATAAATGTTGTAACCTGTAACTGTTGGCATCAATGCTAAATGGAGCCTAGCTGTCACTTCCACACTACAGATTGATGTCTCCTTCCCCTGAATGGCTAAGTGGTTCTTTGGAGATACTCCGTTATGTGCCAGATGAGAGAGTGAAGATGTCACTCATCAGATGTCACTCATCAGATGTCATGCTATCTGACAGAGAGGCAGAAAGAGATGTGATAAACACAGAGTTTCTATCTGAATATGATGGAGCTCTACTCCATCTCTATTTCTAGCCGAGTCTTTATCTCATGAGGAGCAGTGAGATAAGGAGGGATTCCAGGCTGCTGTTGTGTGGGGCTGTAGGACCTGAGGCTGCACCTCCTGCTGGTGTAGAAATGCCACAGCAGTTGATAATCACCCTGTAAGGATCTGACAGAGCAGGAAACTGTTTATTAAAGGAGAGTGGAGAGAATGTTTTGTGGCATGAGTCCAGCTGGAAGTTAATTTCTCTAAGAATCACAGAAATGAGCTCAGGTTGGGCCAATAATATGAGCTACACATGTACGAAGTTACATGTGGTAATTATGGCTGACAGACACTCTGATTAGTCACTTACTGCCAAAACACATTAGTAAAACTACTTTTCAGAAAAACTGCCATGACTTCAATTTGATCATCATTTTAGTTTATCCAATGAAGTTTTAAAAGAATTCTAATAAGAAGAAATATCATTATATTGTTATCATTCATTTATTTTTAAATTATTGGCTAACATTGTACAATGGTGGGAGAAATATATCATTTACTTAAATAAAAGTTGTAACCACAGTGTAAAAATACTGCATTCAAAAATGTCTTACTTAAGTAAGTACTCACTATGCTAAATGGTCCATTTCAAAATAATGCCAATAATGTATATTGTTATGTTATTGGATTATAATTATTAATGTATGTATCACTTTAATGTGGCAGCTGGTGAAGGTGGAGTTAATTTTAATGACTTTATATACTGCTGGGTAGCTTAATATAATGTTGATAATAATATAATAATATTTTGTATTAATTAAGCTACGTGAATCTGTAAATTAATTAGTAACTCAGTGAATCAGATACATGTAAGAGAGTAAAAGGTATGAAGTAACATTAAATGTAAATCCAGTTACAGTTTTTATACCCAGACTACTGTAAGAAAAAATTGATTTATTTTGGCTTATTATTTTTCTTTCTTGTCGTCCTTCGTCAGACCTGTTTGATGACTTTGCTGAGGGGCGAGAATGTGTGAACTGTGGGGCGATGTCAACCCCCCTCTGGAGGCGGGATGGTACCGGCCACTACCTGTGTAATGCCTGCGGATTGTACCACAAGATGAACGGCATCAACAGACCTCTTATAAAACCTCAGAGACGGCTGGTGGGTGACAGCAGAGCACTTTTCACACGTGTCATACTGTGAAGTAATACAGTGTGTTACGTGGACGATAAATTTAGCTGCAGTGAAAACATTTTAGTTTTTTTTTCATAAATAAAAATTAAACAAATATCCTTTTTTAACTGATGCAGTCTGCCTCGAGGAGGGTGGGTCTGTCCTGCACCAACTGTCACACCACCACCACCACCCTGTGGCGACGAAACGCAGAGGGAGAACCAGTTTGCAACGCCTGTGGCCTCTACATGAAACTCCATGGGGTGAGAGAGAAAGTGCATATCTGATACTGCTGAAATCTTGTATATAACCAGTTTAAACACTTCTTTACTTGAACCTCAAACTGGAATTTGCAAAGAGTGAAAACAGAAGATCTAAATATATATACATCAAGAAAGTGAATACACATTTAAGCAAAGGGGTGTCTGAGCAGGTTTTATATTTTTTACCTGTATCCAAATTAACTAACCACTGACTGCCTGGATGGTAGCATATCCATCATAAAGGAGCTAAAAAAGACGATAATTCCCACAGTTTTTGAAAATGTATTTTTAGAAATTTGTGTAAAAATGTCTTCAGGCCAAGAAACTCAATATCTGTCATCAGCCCCCTCGGATGCTACATCTATTTCACTTCAGTCCACTGTTTAAATAAAGGTTCTTTGTCTTGGTGTCTTGACAGGTACCACGACCCCTGGCTATGAAGAAAGAGGGGATCCAGACCCGCAAACGCAAACCCAAGACCCTCAGCAAGTCCCAAACTGGTGAGCTTCAAAACCAAAAAAGTTCTTCTGCTTGTGTGTACTGTGTGTAGATACAGATAGATAAACAGGTGAGGGCACATAGAAGAGTTAAATTAGGGCTCCCCTCCCTAAAACCCCTGACCATCATTATTGTATGTACGTTAAAACAAAATGGGAGAAGGGAAAACATTTATTTGAATAGAAACTAAGTAATTTGTAGCCTCATTGTCCTACTCCCCCCCCAGCTTTTGCATCCCATTTATGAGCAAGTATATGTATTTTGGTATATGTCATGTATATATATATATACATATATATATATATATGTTACAATACCCATTTACCCATTCACTTGTGTATACTATCTTTGAATATGTATTGACCTCAGTTTTGTGCTCCACAGGGACCCCTGGCAATGAGGGGACTCCAGTCACACCGAGCAGCACTCCCCGTGCCTCCACCGCCTCGGAGGAACTTCGCCAGATAAAGACAGAGCCGGACACTCACAGCTTGTACACACACCACAGCGCACATGCACAGGTTGGACATCTTTTCAGTCGACTTATACAAAGTATTCATTTTTTAAAATTTCTTTATCATGAAAAAACTGGTAGAGGCGCACATTGATCATTACATTCAGCATTATTCAACATTAGAATAGTCTTATAAACACAGAAAATTGTGTTTCCTGAAGGGACAGATAACAGTTAAACTGCTGTTTAGAAATGATTATTATAAGCCAAATTCTACAATATGGAGGAACAAGAAAAGGGGAAAAGAGGAAAATCTATTATCTCAATGTAAGTGTAATTCCTGTACTCACCATTTCCATCTGTATCCCTCTAGATTTCAGCCCTGCCAGCCTACATGGCAGCTCAAAGTGGGGCCATTCCTCTCAAGATTTCCCCGGGGTCCACGGCGGGTCTTCTGGCTCCAAACCTGAGCCCTGGAACAACCTAATCCTGGCCTAGAAGATCTGCAACCCAGCATCTCAAACCAAGCTATCTATACAGATTAAACTCTCCACAGAGACGAGGGTCTGCGGACAGCAGACTGCCGCTCTGGATGCAGACGTTCCCACAGCCTGCACACCTCTCAGTGCCTTCAGTATAGCGCTCTGGGACAAATACGTGGGCGCCACAAAAGACATGGAGATCTTAAACAGAACTGCACAGATGCTGTGTGTTCAATCACAGCAACCAAGGACTGAATGGAGTTTGTGTTAGACAATCATTAAAGAGCAGCGCTGTGGTTAGACACACTACAACTCTTGATATGAAAACTACGCTCTCACCTTTTCAACCAGCTGAGAGAGGCATTAAGTGTTGATAAATACTGTAACATAAACCAGTGACACATAACAGTAATGGTCAGACTTTTTGTCCCTGAGTTATTTTTATTTCAGTGTATTTGTCTTCAGTTTCGTATTATTATAGACAATTTACCATAAAATGAAATGAAATCATAAAACATGTAAAGAACCACACCTTAATGTCAAAAGTAGCACCATGGAGGAGTTGTAGCAAGTGTAGTTAAAGGGTCGTTTCACATAATAAGAAAAACTATACACTTTAACACTCACAAGTAGTATTTACTTGTAGATATGCCACCACAATGCAATGGAGGGAAAATGGCATTTTGTTTGTGGTGCTAATAGTTATTTCAAAAAGCTCTTTCCAGAACAAATGTGTTGGCTAGGTAACAATCCACAGACCTCAGTGTGGTCAGTTTTCAGTATTTTGTATGTTCGGTAAATGATTAAAACTTTTCAGAGGTAGTGAGGTCTGTGGATTATCCTATTAAGCACTTTGCTATTGAGTTTTTCAAAAGGTTTAAATTAATTGAGCACCACAAACAAACATCCAATCATTATAGTTTTAGTAGGGTGGCTCAGTCTCAGCAGCAATGTCTCAAAACTTAATTACTGTAAGGAAAGGAAAACTATCTCGGTATAGTCGCTTATTTGCAATGAGTGTAATTTCACACTGCATCTAATTCTAATCTAATCTAATTCTACAAAGACAATCTGATTCGGAGCGTTCCTAATAAACTGTAACGAGAATTGCTCAAGACATCCATCACTCCTCAACACCAGTGATAAACATGATCTCCTTCTCAGTGCAATAGAAGCAGCACCCTGGTGGCATGTTGTTTCTGAATCTGTTGCCTGAATTGTGTACTTTTGTCTGTTTAATTGAAATTGTTAAAAAATATTAAAAAAGAAGACATGTCAGTGTTGACACCTCTATGGAAAAATAATGTTTGATAAACTACCTATACAGCAAGTAAGTTGCACATGATGAATGTGGATGGTGGTGATGGCAAGCAGCTCCCTCTCCTGACAGAAGTGCAAATGTGCACCAATAAGAAAACTTTTTTTCTTTAATACTTGAGGGCATTTAAAAAAAAATCCTGCTAGTATTTATTATTGACGGCACAACACCAAACCACACATTTATCATCTTTCAGCTGAAGGTTGTTTAATAAACTTTATGAAGCAATACTTTAATTTAGTTGTGACAAACATGAGGGCAACATGTGTAAATGTGGGATATCGCCACGTGTAATTATTACCAAAATAACAAATATATGAGCATATATGTTAAAACTCCACTCCAGTATAATTGTAATACACCATTTGTGATATATTGTGAGTAAAGACACAGTGAGAGATGGGCATTTCTCAGTGTGCGCTAACACTACCTGATGCCGTTTCCTCCTGTGTGCAACTGTAGTAGCTCTACTGAGGAAACTAATAAAGACAAAACATTTCAATGTAAATGGTATTTATGATGTAAAGTTTTGGTGTCATTCATTCCTCTTCAAATGCATACCCAACATTTGTGAAGTATGTAACCTCTTAAGAGTTTAGTTATCAGACAACTTTTGAATCTTCCTCTGAAAACTGTATCCTTCCAATTTGTAAGTATTCTTTTGTGAACTTCACAACATCTTTGATAAAAAGCTGGACGGTGGATTGATTGAAATCTTCTGTCAGCTTCTCCCTGATGGACTTGGCATATCTGTCCTGCACCATCTCCCTCCAACACTGTTGAAATGTGAGTCTTATTTGATAGTGGATGGGGTCAGATACTTGTGAACTAAAAGTGTAATTGAATGCAAATGTCCGTCCTTTTTCTAAACATTCCTCAAAACTCAAAGCTTGTGCAGCTTCAACCACGGTGTTCACCTCCTGGCTGAAGATATTTTTCTCATCTTCTGTTAAAATACAATGCATACTTTTGAAGTAACTCTTCCAGTCCTGGCCCTGCACAATGTTTATTGAAGGGAAACCCACAGATCTCAGGAGGTGTTTCACAGCAGAAAACAGGTTTTCACATAAAGGAGTAACATCTGTGCTCTTTTCAGCTGCTTTAACGTAGCTCTCATGATCATCAGTCTGATCTATACAGTCCACTTGGCTATAGTTAAAGTCCCTGAACAGATTTTCTTTAGTTCCTTTGAAGCCCCAGCATTTTACATAACCTACATGAGTCTTGACTCCATACACACTCCACCACTCCTGAGCTTTCTGAACCAGGTTCAGCATGCATGGACCAGTGTTTCTAGCCAAACACGGGCTGTTCATGGTAAAAACATACACCTTCCAGCCTTGTGAGACAGCCTCCGACTCTAGAAGTTCCTCGGTTTGTTTAATAATGATGTCCTCGCTGTGCTCTCCGTTGTTGTAATTTGGATAATAAGGTCCATACATGACGATCTCCTCCTGTTTCTCAAGAACGGCCCATGAATGCTGCTTATCTTCTGCGCCACATTCCTCAGTGAAGTCATGGTAAAACTCCAAAAACTTCTTGTTGACCGAGTCATTAAGAAAAATGTCATCAGAGGCTTGTCTGAACTTGAGATGCTCCAGTACTTTCCTTACAGAGTACTGTGTGTCAGTCCAGGATGATATCTGCTCAAAGAAGCTCTGAGTGTCAGTCAGGTGTTTTGTGGCTTCAGGTGTGCAGAAGTGACTACAGGTTGTCCTGTAACATAAAGACATCTCACTGTAAAGCATAAAAGGTCTGGGTGAATAAAGCACAAAACACTGCTTCTCATCTGTAAATATACACAAAAATAAAATGTATGCATATAGTCAAATTACTTATTTAATTGTGATGTTTAAAGGAAAAGTTCGACATTTTGGGAAATATATAGCTACAGCCAGCAGCCGATTAGCTTAGCTCATCATAATTACCATAAACAGGAGGAAATAGATAGCCTGGCTCCACCTACCAGCACCATTAAAGCTCAGTAATCAGCTTGTTCTATGTAGTTTGTTCAGTCTGTACAAATACTGAAGCAAAAAAAACAGCACATTTCAGTTTTGACTCCAGGCAGGGACTGGAAGAAGTAGTCACGCCAAGATGGCCAAGAAATAGTTAAAAAAATAAGTTGGCCCCTGTTTCCAGTCTTTGTGCTAAACTAAGCTAACCAGTTGCTATAGCTGTAAATCATTTTAATAGACAGACATTAAAGAGGTATTTAACTGTGCAAGAAAGGCTGTACGTGTATTTCCTATAACTAAATACGGTCTGAATTGTGTAATGTAAATAACATTTCTTCATATTTCATGAAATGGTTTCAGAAAATATGTCTTAAAAAACATTTACAGACCAGGAGAGCTAATTATAGCTCATTGTTTCATTAAATGAAAAACAAATGTGCTGAGAACTTTTTGACACAGTGAAAAGTATCTTTTCTATAAGCACATTTCTGGGGTTGCAATAGGACTATACATTTTAAAACTAGGATATGGTTGGCTATATTGGAAAATACACATTTGAAACAAAATGATACCAACAGGAACTGAAAATGAGTTACCTGAAATACCCTCTTAAATAAACCTGTTGTTCCCTGTTGCAACACACTGATACCTGTTTCATATCCATTATGAACATATACTGGAATTCTTTTTCAGTCAGTACTTACTTCAGTCTGACTCTGTCTGACCTGTCAGTGTGATAACCGTCCAGCAGAGTTTCCAGGCTGGCCAAACATTTCTTTGAGTAGAGCGGAGGCTCCTTTTCGTATCCATTAAACAAAGGGCGCTTACGGCTCAACCTGAATAAAAACAGACAGATTAACGCAGGATCAGAGGACAGTCTCTGTACAGTTTCTGTTATAAATTAACCAAATTTTTGTAGGCTTCATGGGCCATCTGTGGACAACATTTTGATGGTTTTGCTGAAAGGACAAAGGAATTTAAGAGCCTATCCAATGCCTTCAGCTGTTCAAGCATGGACAAATGTCCAGAAAAAGTCACATTTTAGGATGCAAGTAAAATGTCTCTTAGCCTCTCTTTCAGGTTTTTGTCAAAGTAATAACTGAGTTTACTCACATGGGAAGTTCCATCCTCAGCCCAGGTAAAATATGTTCCTCTTGTAGGGTGAGTCATGTAAATGACCGATTTGATGTCAAAAGAGACAGCTCTGACAAACTAAGCAACAGCAAAAAGGTTACACTCTCAACATGTTTGCTCAGACAACTGCTGGGTAGTTTGTGACTGTCAACTGACCGAGCTCCTCCCCATTGGTAATGCTCTAGGCCATACAGATATTACCTAACCTGCATACTGTTGAGGTACATTATTGCCTCTAGCAGCCAAGCTGAACAATGTGTGTTTGTATCATCAACAGGCATCCTCAGTGCTTTTTTTCCCTCCAGTTTAGCAGGTTCGCAGAAGTATGCAAAGGAAAGTCCACTTTTCTTCTGAAGTCCAACAGTTTTGCCCTATGAAGTGAAAGAAAATGTGGACAAATGTCTGAGATGTTTCTGGTTCATTTTATTGGTAAAGTGATTCATGGAAGCTTTCAAGTGACACACATAATTGGTTTCAGTTCACAGCTGTGTTGCCCTGAAGCAAAATCTCTTCAATCATAATTACAAAATTAGTTCTGCATTTACATGGATGAAAAAGTCCTGCTATGATCCCAAATGTCGTGTGTACGTGTAAAGCCTACCCCGTGAGGGAGAAATTATTATAAAGCAATTTTTTAGTTACTCTGTATTGGAATTTTAAACTTAATTTATGTAGTGTGTTATCATTTTTATAAACACACTTCACCCTTTTGTGTTAAAAAAAAAAGGATTTTGTTTATTATTATAAGACAGGCCTGTACTATCAATCTGATGAATGAAGTATGAGTACAATAATCAAACTGACGCAGTTTATTTACCATATCAGGCCGCCTTGTAAAGCTGTTTGAAACTGAAGATGCTGTTTTCTTTTCTGTCTGCCAACAATTACCTAAAACAACAAAAAACCACAAAACAAAAGACAAACAAATGTTATGGTAGACTGAAATAAGAGCATGATATATTAAAACCATTTTGACCTCATCAAAACAACAACTATGGAGGTCTGGGGCCTTTGGCTCTTTATCATCATTGCTGGGTTTTTATGTGTTTGCATCTTTGTACAGTTCTTTAACAACACCACAGCAAACTGTACTGACATCAATCTCCTTTGTGTTTTCTTGCGGCTTTGGTGAAATGTTGTAGCTGATTGAGGTAAACATGAAGAGACAGTGTAACATTTAAAACAAGGCATGTGAACACATGAGGGGAGACTGTTGCTATAAACAGAGCCAGAGTAACAAGTTAGACAGGATGTGGGTTTTAACATGATGAGAGTGTCTCTAGTTTTTGACAAAGTAAATGTGGAGGAAGTATTCAGATCTTTTACTTAAATAAAAGTAAACATTTTCAAAAAAGTTTAATCTATTTAATCAATTGATTGTTTGGTTGGTAAAACTTCAGGAAGATAGGGACACTAAGTAACACCTTCACAAAGCTTCTTTTGTTAAACCAATAGTCCCAACCATAAAAATTATTAAAAATACATTCAAATTACTGAAATAATTCAAAGGTAAATCAGCAAATCATCACATATGTGAAGCTGGAACCACTGAAACAATTATCAAAATATTTTTTTTTTCGAGTAGCCAATTGATTGACTAATCATTTCAGCTGTTCTACTGTTGGCTAGCCTAATTTATAAGAAAACATCATATTTTATAAGCTCTTCATATGTTTTGCAAGCAAAAATAATTCAACTGTAGAGTAGAAACTAAAGCTGTCATACAAATGTGGTGGAGTACAATATTATATATACGTATTATGTCTGTCTGTCTTTTGACCACTTTGGTTAAGATTGAAATATCTCAATAACTATTAGATGGACTGCCATGAAAATTGAGTAAAATGAACAATCTTTGAATTACCATGTGGGAAAGGCCCCCTCTAGTGGTGACTTTATTTCCAGTTCTCCCCTACTATTTCTCCCCCCACCTGAACTCTGCCTCACCTCACACTGACTTTGGGGCAATCAGCCCAGATTTGCCCTTTTTTGCAGTCTGACACACATCATCATAGAAACAGAAGGGAAGCTACAACTCCCTTAAAACCGGTGAGTGAGATTTAGACTTTTGATAACAGTATCCACTTATCTTCATGTAGTATAACCATACAGTATGACAGAGTGAGTAAGATTAATAATCTCTGAACAATTACATAAGTGAAATTAAAATGTGCAGGACTCCTTCATTACTTTACCTCTATACAAAATATACAAAAAACCTCTGGTGTAAGATGCTCCCGAAGGTTACTTGAGTTTTCATCAACTCTGCCAGGCACAACAGTTTTACAGTGTATTAATCCTGCAACAAACAGGGCTGTCGGCCCTAATCAGAATTGCTGTCATTAGTTTACCTTCAGCACTCAAAAGACCAGTATTTCCTGTTTTGTAAAGGAGCCGAGGCCTGAAATTGAAGGAGCCGACTCCCTGTAGCTCTCTTCCTGCTCCACTCTGTCCACTTTGTGAAGGATCCATGGTATGACGTTGAGGGAGCTGACTGCTCATGGATTTCATCCAAATTCCACCTCAGCCTCTTAGCACTTGCTCTGTGTCGCTCTCTTCCATGCTCCTCTTTGTGGAGGAGCTGAGGCCTGACGTTGAGGGAAACTGAAGGTAGACTTTCTTCAGGTTGCTCCACTCGCTGCCCTAGAAGCCCCTGATGCTGAACAGATACCTGTGGGTGACAGACAGTCAGCTGCAGAGGAACAGCAACAGGAACACAAAGAAGAACACCACGGGACAGGAGGACGAGCAGGAACAGGAGGCTGTCACCAGCAAGTTCTCATCCTCCTCCTCGTCGTTCTCCATTAGTTGATGACCATCTCCCTCAAACTCTAAACTTTGAAAGTAAAAGGACTAGATGTTTCAACCTCAGCTCCAGATACAATCAGTCAAGCTTCAACAATCAAAACTAGAGGAATGTGCTCTGATTTGAATACATCTGCACTTCCTGACATCATGTCATTCAGAGCCAGTAGGTTTTACAGTATTTTTGGCCCTAATTTTTTTTTTTTTTTTTTTTTTTTTTTTTTTTTTTTTTTTTTTTTTTTTTTTTTTTTTAAAAAAAAAAAAAATATTATTAAAATTATTTAAAAAATTTGGAAAAAAAAAAAAAAATTTATTTTTTTTTTAATTTTTTATTTATTTAAAAATGTCTGCACAAGTGTGTATGTGTGTGAATCTAGAAGAAAGTAAGAGAGAAAGACAAAGATATATTAAATAGGGAAAAATGGAGCTGACTGTGCTCTCCATGCTTGGACTGGATCTTGGAGATCTCTTCTTGGTGATGAGCTACTTGGCAATGAAACAGCTCAGCTTAACTCAGACTCAGCAGGCTTTTCACCACAGGTAGCTGTGTATGAGCTAACTGTGGGCTACTTTTAAAAACTTTTAAAAAAGAATACATCAAAATAAATATATTTTGAAAAGGTAATTCATACATCAAGTTGTACTTAAGTGTTTTTTGCAAATTCCTGGTCTCCTCAATTTATTTGTGACAATTTTTTTTCTTAATAAACAATTACTAGTATAGTAGTATAGTATTAAAAGTATATAGTATTTAAAGCCTCTTTTTGTGTATAGTAGATGGGCATAATATGTATAGTATTAGTTTACTGTACTGTAAGTTACTTATCTATAGCCTACTATGCATTCTTGAGTTTCTGCTGCTGTGACACTTACATTTCCTTAAGTAGGATCAAAAAAAGTTGTTCCTATCTTAAAAATGAACAATGTGTGCAATCAGTGAATTCTTAATATACCATGGAGAGTTTAATAATTAACCTAATAATAATAATAACAACCCCAATATAAAACATTGCTTCACAGTCAGACAAAATAGCATAAAAGGCTAAACACATACCAGTATAATAAACAACAAATAAAAGTTCATAAATGTACCTTTAAAAAAAACAAAATAAAAAGAGATAAAGCTCAGAAATATTTATGTATGAATTCATTTTCATACTTTCCGACTATCACATACATGAACACTGTGTTTTAGTGACAGAACACGGTCTGATGATCACAGCCAACAGGTATCGGTCCTCAGATTATATTATAATGGAGCAGGTATGGTTTCCCTTTTGGATAAATAAGTGACCAATCAGGAGCCGCCCAGCGCTGACAGTCCGCTGAGGCGGGGCATCACACCAGACGCTCTGGGCTCTCATTGGACGCTGCGCACTAAGCCCATGACTCGCCAGCCAATCGGAGGCGTCAGTCGATCTGACGACACTTGTGACTGAAAGCTGTTTTCTCTCTTCATGCTGCCGCTGCTGCATCTCAACGAGGCATCCCTTTGATGGGGAACATCTCTCCGGGTTCACACACCAGTTTGTCAGAGTAGCAGCTGAACACCTGAAGCGGCATGGACATCCTGAAGTCACTGGGCCACCCGGAGGAGATATTCAACCTGTTTAAGTTTAAAATGGGGGGTTGCAGTACCGTCATGCCAAAGTTGGATTATGTGAGTAAAGCCGCTTTTTTTAAAAAACATGTACAGGCTACTCGGGAGCACATTGGCCATGTGAATGGAGACAGCAGCCGCATAAAAGCTGGATGCACGGTTGCATTTGAGGTTCAGCCTCGCGGATCGAGCACATAATGTTCCCCTTTCAATAGCATCTGCACGGACCGCGACACGGAAACCCGCATTGGCCTATTAATAAGTAGGACTGTACACGCTTAGTGGAGACAACCTGCATTGTAATGGATTGACCTATATGGTGGTCAGTTTTTCTCCTTCATGAGCCGATGGAAACAGACTCAGCTAGTTGGACTAATTAGATCTGTGTTCGTTCTCTCTCTCTCTCTCTCTCTCTCTCTCTCTCTCTCTCTCTCCTGTGTTGGCTCTGATGCACACGGGCAGATATGACCATTGACTCGGGATTTACGTTACATAATGAGCTTGGAGGGTTCAGCGGCGGGGAGAGATGCTGTGCGCATGTTTGACGGATAATCCCACTGTTTTAACACCAATGTGACCCAGAGAGAGAGAGAGAGAGACTGCACATGCTGCAACATGAGTTTTTATTAGACAAAAGTAAACTCATTACTCATTCATAGTCTGTGTATGTGATTTTTAGGATTGTCTGGAGAGGGACCTTAAAATGAGTGTAAATAGGCCTAAGTGCTACTATGAAATTACCAAACCAGGCAGCTAACAATGGATGATACCAGCTGTTGAACAGGTGTTACATCTTTCTCTCTGACCAGTCAGATTCTGTGACACCATCAGGAATATGGGCTAATCAATGTTTGCTTGTTCCAGACCTCTGACCGCCCAACACTATTGTTCAAACACTATTTTTTTAGGATACTTAAGGCCAGTGTGGAGGATTTAGTGGTATCTAACAGTGACGTTGCAGATTGCAGACCATCTGAATACAGCTCAGCCTTCCAAGCGTGCAGGAGAAAGTACGGTGGCTGTGAAAACTCATGAAAAAGCACAAGGCCCTATCTATAGCCAGTGTTTGGTTTGTCTCTTCCTGGCTACTGTACAGAAGAAACTCTGTAGTAGCCCGCTCCCTCTGTTGGTACAAAATGTTTATTCTAGGATAATAAAAACACAACAATTCATATTTTCAGGTGATTATACACTAATGAAAACATATCTATGGATATTTAATCAATTTCTGCCAGTGAGCCTCCTAAATGTGACACACTGGACCTTTTTAAAGTAAAAACAAAATGACAATTCAGTTCAACTATCAGGCTAATTTAAAGGTTTTTGCAGTGATTATTTAAAATATTTTAGTTTTACCTCAAGTGGTGACCTCATAACATTTGAGTCACAAATGTAGATTATATTGATAAAGCAACCTATCTGTAAATATTTCCTGTTAATATTTAGTCAAAGCATCAGGTACAGGTTACAGATTTTACTGTAACAGGTGTATCTACACCAACATCCTACTGCTCTTCCCACAGTGGGCTAAAGTTGAAACATGATCAGCCTATGTGATTGGCTGACTGCTGATCATGTGACTGCAGTTACAGGAGGCTGTTCTGAACCCTCCCAACATGCACTGGGATATGTTCATGTATTTCTATGGGTGTCATGTTTCCACTGTTTCATAACTCTTAAACAATTAGATATTACCAGTGAACGTGGTTCCATAATGGATGATGTTGAGTGCATGATTCTTCCCAATGGACATTTTGATTGCATTAACAATCTCCAGCAAAGTGAGTTATGAAGTTAATCATCAGTTAATCACAAGTGGTAGTGTTCAAATGACACATTTCCATTTGAATGTCAGATTAACTACATTTTGGCTTGGTTCTCTATTAGTGTACACACTTTAATTTTGTTTTATATTCTATCATGTATAGTAGTGCATAAACTCTTCATTATGAAGATTAAATTGTTATAATTACACCAACAAATTATAGTGACTTCTTAGTTACCTGCATGTGCTCATCTAAAATCATAAATATATCAATGCTCTTTCATTAGCACAAAGCAATATTATTCATGAACATCTCGATTATGATCCAGCAAGCTTTCAATAACCTGCAGGTTTGTTGCTCTGGCAACAGTTTAAAATCAATTTTAAGAAGCTTTAAAGCTACAATTGTCTATTCTAATCTGGACATTTATGCATGCACGAAAACAGTGCCCTGCACTTTTTATTATGATATATTAATCCTAAAAAAGATGGAAGCAAAAAGCTTTTATGCATGCGTGCATGACTTAAACCCAAACACACAGGAGTCCCTCAGTCATGACTGAAGAAAAACCCTGTTTTGTTTTTTACACGTTTTACATGCGTGTGTGGTAACAACCACCAGGAGCCAAAATAAGCTCATTGCAAAAGCAGACATTAAGACTCGTGTGTGTTTCTAATGTCACTTTCTGCTCTGATGCAGTAGCCTACTGTGTGTTCACACTGCTCCACTTCCTCGCTACAGGCGCAGATTAGGAAACACGCTGTATGTAACGCTGTGTTGTTTTGGAAGGTGGGAGGAGCGGCGCAGTCACAACAGCAGATCTCCAAACGCTGTGCGCAGACCTCGCTCACCTTCACACGGAGGTCGGGCTGTTTGCAGATCAGCGGAGCGCTTTGTTTTGACGCTCACAAACGTCCTCCTAAAATTGTTTCCCCTCGCTCGACCTCTCCGCTCGCGTGTCCTCTACATGGACTGCGTGTTTCAAACGTCGACATGGACAGGGTCGGATTATAGCTGCAGGGTTCGGTCGTGCTGTCAGGTTATTCGTATGGCCGGAGCTTGTTGCAAGTGTCCGGTCTCTCTGTCCGTGTTGAAGCGCTCTCTCTCGGTGGCTCCGCGGGGCTGCGGATCCGCTCCTCGGTCCCTCCTTCTGGGCTGGAGGCTGGGGGAGCGAGGCCTGCAGGAGGCCGCCCGACCCTCCAGCGCCCTCAGACCCGCAGGCTTTTACCGACACACCACCTTCCTCTGTCTCTCCTGCCAGGAGTCCATGAGTGAGAGTCTGCGGACCTGCTACCTGTACCTGAACCAGACCAGCCGGAGTTTTGCAGCCGTGATTCAAGCGCTGGACGGGGAGTTGAGGTGAGTAACTGGGAGCTCCATGTGAGGAGGGGTGTGTCTGCTCTGTGGGCATGTTTTCTTTCCTGAGCGCAAGGGGCGTTGGCTGGGGCACTTCTCTTTTCCTCACCAGTCATTTTCTGTGTGAAATGTGCCAAGGAAAAAGATGCATTCAAAAATCATACAGCTCAGACTACAGTCCTCTTCGAGCCCACTGTGCGCTTTGGTGTTGCGTTTGTCTTATTACTCCATAAAAACTCAAACTCAACTCAAATGATGGTGTGTCTATAAATAAATATTTGTTCTCAGGCACGCAGAATGAACAAACATTGCATTATTTTAGGCAGCAGCCTCAATAAACCAAAATGCCTCCAGTTCGAGGCTTTTGTGTGGACTTGAAGAGAGTAACATCAGTAGTGACAGCTCCACTGATTTCGAGATTCGAGAGGTTTATTGTCATATGCACAGTAAGAAACGCAGTGGTTTATACCATACAATGAAAATCTTACTTTACACAAAGGTAAAAAATAAGACAAATACACAACACAAATAGAAAAATAGAATAAAGTTCAAATCTAAAATATAACTTAAAGTGCAGAACAGTGTAGCATTTATGTAGCTGAAGACTTTTCAGTTGATCTGCTAACCGGCTCAGCTCACTCAATGTCACTCATAATAATAATAATGATAATAAAAATAACCAGGGACAGTGTAGAAACAAATGCTTTTGATGCAGAAGGAGATTTAACGTGTCTATTAACATTAAACCACCAGTAACAAAAGTCTTAATGTGGTCAGATTCTCGGGGTAACTTGTGATGACCTGCAGCAGTAACTGCTAATATTACACACATGCTGTACATACACATCTAAAGTGTGTGTGTGTGTGTGTGTGTGTGTGTGTGTGTGTGTGTGCATATATCCCTGGTCAGAGGGAGTCTTCTACATATAGACTAACCTGATGTGACATGCTGCTATTTTTGTCCTCTTGTGAATCAGTGATGAGGTTGCTTTTCAGTCAGCGTTTGTAAAAGCTGTCTCTTGTCCCTCCCTCCTGTCTTTATGATGCAGACATGCAGTTTGTATTTTCTACCTGGTACTGCGAGCGCTGGACACAGTGGAGGACGACATGAGCATCCCTCTGGATAAGAAGGTCCCCATGCTGAACGATTTCCACACCTACCTGTACCAGGACGAGTGGTGCTTCACTGAGAGCCAGGAGAAAGACCGACAGGTTCTGGAAGATTTCCCCACGGTCAGTAGCACTGCATGCTGGTACAAAGAAGGGCAGTAGGCAGGTTCATTAGGCTCTCCAGGCTTAATTTACAGATGTAGTCCCTTTTTAAATGACAGATTTACACAATAAAATGCCATGTTAATTATAGAGTTTAGTTGTAAACTTCTGTGTGATAGAAAAGTCTTAAATAAAATCTTCGTCACTCAGATTGAAGATTGTCATAAATCATTAACTGTAATCTTCATGTGTGCCAATCCAGATATCCCTGGAATTCAGAAACCTCGCTCAGGAGTACAGAGACGTCATCTCAGACATCTGCCACCGTATGGGAGTGGGAATGGCTGAATTCCTGGAAAAGAAAGTGGGATCCATGAAGGAGTGGGACTTGGTAAACGATAGCCCTGTGTTACCATTATGTTAGGATAACAGCAGAAATGTTGAACATATTAGGAGTATAACAGGACCATGTGTTTAAATAGCAACTAGAAATGAATTTAGACTTAAATTTGTAAAAACACAAACAGATGTGTGGCAGCGTTTATGGTGCCTTATACTGGACATAATATTAGAGATGACCAAACAGATTAAAGCAGAGAGAGTATTGTTTTGTCTTTGGCTTGGAGGAAAATGATCTTATTGACGTGTATCTTTGTCTGTGACAGTTTGGAAGTTATGTGAGTTTTGAAAAACAGAAATATTAGCAAACAGCAAGCTAACCTTTGACGTATTGGCACTGATTGTCTCAGTAATCATGTGACAGTTTCACTTAAGTTGCAGTTTCATTCTGTCTTAATATTTTCAGTCATTCTGGTAGCTTAATTTTTATGAAGTCTTACCACACAACTTCAAAATCTGCTGACAAATCTATACTGCACCTTTGGATATTACAGTGACATTCTATAAAGTCTTGTTTTATCTTCTGTGCAGTATTGCCACTTTGTGGCCGGGCTTGTCGGTATCGGTCTGTCTCAGCTGTTCTCTGCGTCCAAGCTGGAGGACCCGGAGGTGGGCCGGGACACGGAGCTGGCCAACTCCATGGGCCTGTTCCTCCAGAAGACTAACATCATCCGAGACTATCTAGAGGACACACAAGAGGGACGTGCCTTCTGGCCACAAGAGGTAATATCGCGGTGTGACCTTATTTGTTTTACCTTGTTTGCTTGTGTGTCTGACCCACAGTAAAGAGTATGATAGTTTAAGAAAATACTGAACTTTAGCATTTACTCACATTTTATCAGCAGAATATTTAGATTTTGCACACAGACTTTATGCAGCATGGTGACTTGTGTCACACAAGTCTAACATTGATAGTGTCTCTTTAAAACAGTTAAAAAAATGGATAGATTTTTGTTGTCATAGTTATTGTTTGCTATTTGAGTAATCATCCAAGATATGCATCTTTTACAATTACGTAATTTGTTTGTTACTGTTGACGAGGGAGACTCCTTTCGACATGCATTGCTCATATTGCTGAATATATAACGACATATGTGATGTGTGATCTTGTGTGCCTGTGAAGGCTTGGAGTCAGTTTGCCGGTCGTCTGGAAGACTTGGCCCAGCCAGAGAAGCTGGAGTCGGCTCTCTCCTGTCTCAACCTGCTAGTCACCGATGCTCTACGACACGTCCCGGATGTTATCGCCTACCTGTCCCGCCTGCGCAACCAGAGCGTTTTCAATTTCTGTGCCATTCCACAGGTACACGCTGATTTATTACTTACAAGATTCCAGCGATTTAGGGATTTAATGTGATTTGTATGACATAATATTTGAACAGCATTTTAGCGTAATGTTTTTTTTCCACTTGACCTATATGTTAATCTTCTCTTGGCCAGGTGATGGCTATAGCTACACTATCGACATGCTACAACAACCCCATGGTGTTCCAGGGAGTAGTGAAGATCAGAAAGGGACAGGCGGTCACACTCATGATGGAAGCCACCAACATGAGAGCAGTGCAGACCATCATCGGCCAGTACAGCCAGGAGGTGGGTGTGTTTTTGTGTTTACTCTCTTAGTTCCACCACATTGCCGCACTTTAACACAAAACAATCTCCCTCTCTGCAGATTTTACAGAAGGTCTCCCTCACTGACCCTTCACGGGACAAGACCCTGCACATCCTGGCTCTAATCCAAGAGAAGTCCGCCCTGTCACAGTCCAGCCTCCCCTCTAGAACCCACCACCTGTCGCCCATGTACCTGTCTGCCGCCATGCTGCTCGCCGCCCTCAGCTGGCAGTACCTCAGCACCACTGCAGCACAGGCACAGGGCACAGGCGACATGCAGGGACAATGAACCCATTTACGCTCACCTTTCCTGGGGCCCACAGACTCAGAAAAAGCCTCTTTGCTTGCTATGGAGGTCCTGTTCTCCTCTGACTAAAGGAATCTGAAACACTTCTTCCCACTTTACCCTCTTACCCTCTGGCCGTTACAGGACCATGGACATATTTAGACTGTGGAGGGGTTCTGGTAGCAGGTTGATCTCATTAGGTTGTTTGATTGTGATTTTTAGTCCATCCTGCATCTGGATCAGTTATTTACACACAGTGTTGTGTGGTTATATTCACCAGCATAAATGGCACATTGAAACAATTCAGGGCGTTTTGTTGTTTGACGTTTATGTTGATTGTGTTCTTTTTTTTGTTTTAAACATTTTGACCCTTTGAATTGAGTGAAATTATTCGGCATATTTGAATATTTCAAGAGAGAAACTGATCAAATGAATTCATTGTTTTGTCATTAAAATTAATAATAATTGTCTTCCTTAAAGTTTGTTAATATGGTGAAATGCACCATGTGTGACTGCCCATTTCAGGATTTGGAGAGAACATTGTCACCAAACTTAATTAAAGGGGACCTGTTATTTCCAGCGCTATATTTTTATTCTAGGGAACCACTAGAGTAGCTTTAATAGTTTCTGGTCTTCCCTCTGGACTTTGGGCTGCCCTGCTTTAATTTTTCATTATTTACAGTTTCCTGATGGACCGATAGTAGTTAGCTAACTGCTGCAAACTGTTCCTGCTGTTCAGTAGTTAATTGTGCAACTAGTAGTCTTATTAGCTGACTGGCAGACTGGAAGCTCAGAGCACCAGGGGAGTGTTTAACGTTACGTCTCTGGAACAGGAACTTTAAACCGCCTGCGGTGGTGCCTGAAGGTCCAAGTATGTCAGTCAGTAGCAGTTAGCAGTTGGCTACTTTAGCAGTAAGTAATGCTAAATGTCCATCAGTAAACAACGTAAATCACAGAGGAGCCAGAGGACATCGGAGAGAGAAACAGAAACCGTTGAACTTTCACATACAACCAAAAAAGCCTTTTCTGCAAGACAAAAACTTGAGCTGAACGTCGGCTTGTTGCACAGTGGAAAAAATAGTTTTTGCTCACAGGGAATAACTTTAACATATTAACCTTATTATCTGACATTCTAACAATATATATATATATAACAGAAAATAAGGGAAATCATATAATAGAAAGCATAATAGGTCCCCTTTAAGTTTGTGGTTGATTTTGTGTCAAATTTTCGTTTTGTTTTTTTGTTTAGCTTACAGAAGAAACTCAAATGAACTGTTACACGTTCCAATAGACACACAGTATGTTAACATAGACGACAGAATCCACTCACAGTAGAGCTTAATTTCAACACTTTATGTCTGTGTTCTATTTCAACTCTGTGTCCTTAGGAAAAATAAATAGGAAAAAAAGAACAGACGGTGCAATTTCAAGGTAGTTTTGACTGTTTAAATGATTATGGGAGAGAAAATGTAATTTCTAATACATTTGATGTCTGAAAGAAATGCATATTGAGACTGCTAGCTAAAGTGTCCTTAATGCAGCTTTGGTGAGTAGAAAGGCTAGCACAGAGTAACCTTGTACAGAACCAAAGGAGAGCTACAAACATTGCTATGTAATGTGAAAGTTTGATTTGTACATATTTGAACAAATAAACAGATGAAGTAAAAGAATGTAAACAGTCTCAATGGTGATTGTGCATATAACACGTGGCATGTCTTTTTTAAAGCCTGTTTATAAAAGAGATTCCAGACTCTAAGTTATATTCTTATATTTTCCAGCAGAGGTTCAAGGGTCATATATTGTGCCGGCTTTGTTTTTGTTTAGATTTCTGAATATGTGTACATCATAGTTATGAAGCATAATAATGAAAAGGAAAGATTTTATGTAAGTTAATAATAATGGTAATTGCTTTCTCTTAATCATTGCCAGGTCATAATTTTAAGACCTGTCAACCTTTGGAAAGCCATTTTAGTCACATGAGATTTGTACTGACGATGCATTCGTTACACAGACATGTGATTCCATAACTTGCAGCTTGTAAAAAGGACAGTACAGTAGAAGAAGTTAAAATTACTGGTGTTTGGTTCATTAGGAGGAAGGAGTTGCTCAGAATAAACGTCCATCGAAACAACTACAACACAGGTAAAAGCCACAGAGATTCAGGTGAAATTCTATTTTAAAATTTAAATCTATACAATATATAATCTAAATAATTAAATCTATATTTTCAAAGTTTTATAATAATAGTTGTTGGTCGCAGTTTTAATTCTTTTAAAGTGGTTTTAACTAGGCAGTTGTCAAAATTAAAATACTTGATCATGTATGTATCTGAAAAAGTTGTTAGTTAAAAAAGATACAATTAAATGTGCTACTTTTACAACTTTATTTAGTTAATTCAGATGTCAGTCAAGAAATGTAGGCTAAAATAATTTCAACATTTTGAGAAGATGCTGCAGTAGGATTACAGAAATGATGAATTACACTGTCATTGTCTTTTGCAGGATGCGTCCACTCGCCCTCCTCTGTGTAATTGTGACAGTCTCTGTCACCTGGGCCCGGCCTCACCTCCCTCTGCTCTCCTCAGAGATGATCGACCTTATTAACAAGGCCAACACCACTTGGACGGTGAGCCCATCTTAATTGTCCAGTCTATATTTTGGGGTATTTACTGGTCAGATTGCTGATGTGGTTGTGAATGTTGTGATTCTTGTAATTTTAATTTCCCTACTTTTGCTCCAGGCTGGGCAGAACTTCCATAACGTTGATATCAGCTATGTGAAGGGACTGTGTGGGACTATACTGAAGGGGCCCAAGCTTCCAGAGGTGTAAGTTCAAACAGTGCACCGGCCCTTCCGTATGAGGGTGTATTGGCATGGATTTATGTGTGTGTGACAGGTGATAGTCAGCAGGCTTATCTTATCTGCAGGGCTCAGTGACTGTCTTCTCTTGTTCAGGGTTCACAATATTGAAGGCATAAACCTTCCAGACAGCTTCGACCCACGCCAGCAGTGGCCCAACTGTCCCACAATCCAACAGATCAGAGATCAAGGATCCTGTGGGTCCTGCTGGGTAAGACAGACCAACAACATATAGTAGTAATAGAATCAGCACTCTTTCCTCAATTAGCGAAATGTTGCTCAGTTGGGGGGAACCAAAAGATAAATTAAGTGCATTTTAGAAACCACAACCTTATTCTCAATCCACTGTCCCCTTTTTTATTTCCCACAGGCCTTTGGGGCAGCTGAGGCGATATCTGACAGGTTGTGTATACACAGCGGTGGTAAGATCTCTTTGGAGATCTCCGCTGAAGATCTACTGTCCTGCTGTGATGAATGTGGCATGGGGTGAGCATCTGTGCAGCAAAATTATCTTACTCTGGGTCTGTTAAGAGGACACTGAACAACACTTGTTTTTATTTTTCTGTGGCTGCAGCTGCTTTGGTGGTTTTCCCTCTGCTGCCTGGGAGTTCTGGGCAAATAAAGGGCTCGTGACAGGAGGCTTGTATGGCTCCAAAGTCGGTAAGTGTGAACTGAAATGGGTTCGTAAAACTTTTCATGAAGCATTTAAAGGAAGTATTTAAGGTGTGAACTGAGACTGATGGTGTGTTTGACAGGCTGCCGACCCTACAGCATCGCTCCCTGTGAGCATCACGTAAATGGTACTCGTCCTCCGTGTCAGGGTGAACAGGACACTCCGAAGTGTGAGGAGCAGTGCATTGATGGATACTCACCATCCTATCAGAAGGACAAACACTTTGGTACAGACCTCTAAAATGATCTATTCGCCTCCCTACTTTTCTGATATGCCTTGTTTTGCTTCTAGCTGTGATGTTAATGTGTTGATGTTCTGTGTCTCCCTCTGCAGGTAGACGCACGTACAACGTCCCGTCCCAGCAGGAGCAAATCATGACCGAGCTGTACAAGAACGGACCTGTGGAGGCAGCTTTCTCTGTATATGCAGATTTTCTGCAGTACAAGACTGGTGAGGCTACAACGCTGTAGCATGAGCACACAAGACCATCAGAGAGAAGACTGGCTATTTCTTTATGGTTATTCTTGATGCCTGCCTTACTGTATTTTACAAGAAAAGAAACAACTACTAATTATTTTTGTAACAAGATTTTTGTTTCTTTTCTTTCTTTTATTTTCTTGTGACCTCTCAGATTTAGGTCCCAGGTTGGAATGACATTTTTGGCAGCTGATTCTAAAATTTTGGATGCTGGAGTAGTAACTGTGTTAAAATGTGGATAACTGTTGTCATTTAAGCCATGTGTTTTTGCACTCAATGTTACTCTACTGTAGGTGTGTACCAGCATGTGACAGGGGAGATGCTGGGTGGTCATGCCATCAAGCTGCTCGGCTGGGGAGAGGAGAATGGGACGCCCTACTGGCTGGCTGCGAACTCCTGGAACAGTGACTGGGGAGATAAAGGTACAACAAACCAGGATTTGGAGCCATAAGTGCAGAACAAACTAGTGTCACATAATCTGGCAATATTGTGAGTGATATGGTAAAGAGGTGTCAGCCTTAAATTGTGTTTTTTGTGTCTTCTCATTTCAGGTTTCTTCAAGATCAAGCGTGGAACTGATGAGTGTGGCATTGAGTCAGAGGTGGTTACAGGAATCCCACTCAACTAGCTTAAATGAGTCCTTGGTTGAAAACGATCATCAAATCAAGTCAATTAAAAAAGATTAGAACTGAGATTTTATAATGGAGATTTCATGTAACCAAAAGGGAATAAATTGCACAACATGGTGAAACAAGAACTATTGTGCTAGTGTTGTTATTATTCTAAATAAATCACCAGGTTTCATTTTTCTGATAAACTATACAATATTTTTTACTGCTATCTGTGATAAAAGCAAGTTAAAAGTTACCTAAAGTACTGCACTAAAGTACAGTTTTGAAGTACTTCACTTGAGTAATTCCATTTTATGCTACCTTACACTTCTACTTTACTACATTTAGAAACATTGTACTTTTTTACTTTTTACTCCACTATACACCACCACTTTATTTGAAAGCTTTAGTTACTAGTTACTTTGCAGATTTAGATTATTAATACAAAAATATAAATAAACTAGTAAATGATGATATATTATATAGATTAAGCAGTATATAAAGGGATTAAAATAACCCTCACATTTACCAGCTGCAACATTAAAGTGATGTACACATTAATACATCACTAATTAAAATCCAGTAATATACTATATATAATAATAATTCTGAAACTATCATTCTGCATAATGAGTAGGCTACTTTTACTTTTGCTACTTAAAGTTGATGCTAACATTCTTGTACTTTTACTTAAGTAAGTATTTTGAATAACATATTTTTTAAGTAAAATACTTCTTCTTCTAAAACTGGTTTCAACATGGCAGATGTGGACATGGCGCTCACTCTGCTTCCATTCCTGGGCACAAAGCATGGAAATGTTGTGTTTTTATGAGAAGAAATCACAGGAATACGCATCTAGACTACCATTAACTCTAAAGAAGAAGAGGAAGATGACTCCTATGCAAAGGTAGAGCTGAATGGACCTGTTAGGGGTTAAAAATGAGCGGAGGACCTTACATACGGACCCCCAACCTACTGTATCTTTCCCACAAACCAACAAAACTGGAACCCCACCTTCCCCCGGATGTGCTGCAGAGAATTTAAGTAAACAGAAATTTGTTCATGCATATGCACCATGTAATAAATATTATAGGTATTAAAACTAGATTTGATTCAGGGACCCTAAGGCCTCAAAAATATCTCAACATTAAGAGCCACATTTATTCTTTTTCTTCTTTCTTCTTTTATCGTGTTTTAGTTGTGAATATTACCAAACAATTTTAATATTACTTAAATGAGTCAACTATAACGTAAACTATGGGACTGAAAAAGAAGAGGCTATATACCTCAGGAAAACATAAAAACATACACTAGAATAACAATAATGACCTTGGTAAAGTGGTAACGTACACGCAACAGAAGATGGCGGTAATGCGCCCAACACGCATGTGGCCGGCGCATGCGTATTAGTTAACTTCCGCAATCCTCTTCCAACATCTATGTTTTAAGCCAACGCCGGCATCAGGCAGGAAGTAGCCGCTCCTGGAGAAAACACCTCTGAATAAAAGCCTGCAGGTGGATACCGAACCGCGTCAGAGCTGATGTGACGTGTCGGAGTTAAGGAGGAGTGGCTGTAGAACATCTTTAACATTAGCTGGTGGTGATGAAGGCAGGTTGTCGGACACTAACACACTGTTTGTGCGTTGTCTGTCCCGCTGTGTCGGCTAACGAGTCATTTAGAGGTTAGCTCTCTGCACTGTAGCCAGACACATCACAACAGGCATGCTTATATCACATTTGGAGCTATGGACAACTTGTTGGGAGTGTGTTTCCAGACCTTATACGGTGTTCATCTGCTCCCTCACGGCCGCATTGTACTGTCTGTGGGGCCGCAAGTGTCAGGTCAGTCACTGCGGTCAGGGCTAGGTAATACTGACTGCACTGTTAGGCTGTATCCACGTGTGTGTGTGTGTGTGTGTGTGTGTGTGTGTGTGTGTGTGTGTGTGTGTGTGTGTGTGTGTGTGTGTGTGTGTGTGTGTTTTTATGGTATTTATTCTTTGGTTTCTTACTGTAATCTATTTCATATTATTCTTTTATTTTAGTCATATTTTATTCAA